TTTTTTACTGTCAACTGAGTTAACTGAGCAATAGGATAAGTCATTTTATGTTTCTTTTTTGTCTTTTTAAGACAGGTTCTCACTATGCCATTTGCGCTGGCCTTGAGCTCACTTTGTGGCCCAGGCTGGTCTTGAACTTGCCAAGGATCCTCCTGCCTCAGCCTCCCAAGTGCTGGGATTACAGGCATGCACCACCACACCTGGCATTATGTTTCTTTCTTTATACTGCTATTTTCCAGAAAGCTTTAAACAATATTATTTTTTAAAAATCTATTTAAGATAGCAGAATTATAAACAACATCTTATATACTTTTTAAAAATCATATGCATTCAACCATGACAAGACTAAAATGCTTTTACCGAAGTACTATCCTGGGTGCAGAAAATACAATGCAGGCTAGCTGCTGCAGGCAAAAAACACACCACAGAACTACCATAGCAAAGGAGATAGGACTTACATAGCATTCAATGAGCTAGCTATTTCACTTTAGCATCTACAAACATGATCAACCAAAATTTTCACCTCTAGCTACTCAATGTTACCCCTCTCATCAAAGGTACATCCTATTTCTCCCTGACTTGGAATTTCATCTTGTTAATTGCTTTGATCAGTAGAATAGATCTTAAGTGACACTGTGCCAGTTCTGGACTTAAGATATTAAACAGTAGGAAGTTTCTTCTTTTGCCCAACTGCTATCCTCAACTGCCATATAAAGCAGTCCAAGGCTATCCTGCTGAAGACAGAACCCATGTGCAGACAGACCTTGATGAATGAGTGACAAGTGGAAAGAGATAAGAACCAAGGAGAAATGAAGTGCCTCAGGAGAAAAGCACCATTATAACCCCAGATAGGAAGTGAGGGCAGCTTGAAGTTATCAACCTACATCAAATACCTCAACTGATGGCATAAAATCAGGGACAGGCAGTTACTACTGACACAGAAAATCGTGAGAAAAAGAAGTAGGCTGAAGAGATTTGTTATATTACAATAGATAGACTAAAAACTTGTATTTGTGTGCCAGGTATAGCAGTGCATGTCTGTAATCCCAGAAATCAGGAGGCTGAGGCAGGAGGAACAGGAGAAATGCCACAAGTTCAAGACCAGCCTGGGCTACCTAATCAGTTTAAGATCAACCGAAACTAGAAGACCCTAACTCCAAAACCAAACAAAGAAAAAAAAAAACCCACAGTATCTGGAAATGGGGTGCTTCTGTAAAAGAAACTTAAAAACATGTCATACTGGCTTTTGGGACTCAGAAAGGTGGATACCAGAAGGGCAAGAAAGAGACTATGAAAACTGTAAGTAAGGCCACCACTGGAAGAAAATGGAGGAAGGGCAACCACATTATATTCCAGCAGCAAAATCAGCAGTACTGCTCCCATGAAGTAACTTACAAGATTAAGTACATGCGTCATGAGCCTGTGGCTCTGGCTAAGACTTCCAGGCAGAATACCCAAAATGTCAGGGACTTCAACACAAGGAAGTACTGAAAAGTTAGAAGGGGAAAAATACTTGCTAAAGAACCAACTAACCTGCAAGCAGAGTATAAAGGAAATGCTTTTAACCAGGAACTGCTGGGTTAGAAAATAAATCTTTCTCATCACTAGACCTCCAGACAGCAAAAGACTATCAATGAAGATGGCATGAGGACCAAGACTGAATCGAGAGCACTGCCAAGAAAACACAGACTCACAATTATCAAGAGTGGATCTTTAATCTTTGTAAAGACCTCAAAAAAATTTAATTCAGTACTTACACACCACTTGCAGATAAGCAAAGAGGCTTCTAAAGAAACTTAAGAGGACACTGACTTGGGTCCAGAGTAAAAGTACTGTTCAAGAGAGACATGAATTATCCGCTACAGATAAAACTATTAAATCATCTACAAAGTCCACTGCCAACACTTCCTTCTATTCCTGTCTAGACGTACTAATTCTATCCTCAACAGGGGCAACTATCTCTCCCTCCCTATAATCATAGTAGACATAGCAATTTTACTTGTTTTTAAAAAGAGGATTGGCTAGGTATGGTGACACACACCTGTAATCCCAACCCTCAGGAGGCTGAAGCAGGAGGACTGCCTGAGCTCAAGAACAGCCTGGGCTATTCAGTGAGTTCCAGATCAGCCTGAACTACATAACAAGACCCTGTCTTTAAAATGACAGGGTCAACAAAAGAATTTAGTGGAAATAGTATTATGTAGTTTTAGACATAGATTTTATAAAACCTAGAAAGTTCTGGTTTTCCTCTCTTACAATCCTATCATCCCGTCAGGTAAAGGCTACCTTCCCAAAGAGGGTGAAAGAAGAAAAGAAAAACAAGGAGTAGCAACTGAACACCAGTCCTAAGGCCTTCGGCAGACAAGTGAGGCCACTGTGGACCCTTTCAGCCCATCTCAGCCACCTTCTTTAACATCTTATAAAACTGACCATGGTACTCACTGCTCCAATCTCTGACCCTAAAACTGTAAACAATAAAACAGCTGTGATTTTTTTTCTTTTCTTTTTTTTTTTTTTTTTTTGTACTAGAGATTGAACTCAGGACCCTATGCTTGCCAAGCAAGCGCTTATTCTACTGAGCTATCTCCCTGGCCCCCTTCAGCTGTTTATTTTAATCACTAAATTCTGGAGTAATTTGTTACTCAGTAATACATAACTAATAGAGGTAGTAAATACAACAAATATTTACCAGGTGTTATCTAAGAGTAGCAGTATTAAATAATGTAATTGTAGTTTAACACTATTTAACACTGGGTGTCGTGACATACAACTATAATCCCAGTTATTTGGAAAGCTAAGGCAAAAGGACCACAAGTTAGAGGTCATCCTAAGAAACTTAGTGAGGTGCTATTTCACATTTTTAAAAAAGGATAGGAGCACAGGGAGTAATAGCTCACTGGTAAAACACTTGCCTAGCCCTGGCTTCAACTGCCAGAATTGCAAGAAAAATAAAAGTAGGAAGATTATGAATAAGAATTGTGTTTAAGGGTTTCAAACTTTTATTTTTTCTAAATTTCCTATAATTCACATATTTTACTTCTGAAGTAAAATAAAAAAAATTTTTTAGAATCTCCCTTTAGATATTATTGTTTATTGAGTCTATTGTGCTAAAATTTATTAAGTCTAAAATTTTACAGGTAAACATTTCAGCAAATGTTTGGCAGAACCGGGAAGTGAACTCAGGCCCTTGCGCTTGCCAGGGAAACGCTTATTCTACTGAGCCATCTCTCCGGCCCCACCATATGCTTTTTAAAGATAATACAAAGAACAAATCCACTAATGGGATAATCTCTCCTTATTCAAAATGAGTCAAATTATGTATGAAATACTAAGAACATATTATGGAAATGATAGAAAAACTTAAAGAATTACAACTTACAAAAAAGTTTCTACTTCAAATGCCAAGCTACAGTAAGAAAACACTTGAAACAATTTTTTCATTGTACCAAAATAAATGACTACATGCTAAACAAAGTGCTAGGCACTGGGGTATATAATGGAAAACAAAACAGACATTATCTCTATCCCCACTCTGCTTTTAAGTCTACTGACATTCTATTATAGGAAGACTTTAATAGGTACAAAATAATCAAGTGTATCAGTCAAGCATAATAAAAGAGATCTATGTATGTTGTATAAGGTTGAAATAAATGACTTCCAAAGTTATTTCCAAGTATAAAATTTTATGCTTAATGCTAGCACTGCACCAGAAAACAAGGTAATACAGATACATCTGAAGAATAAAATACTAAGCAAACCAAGGTACACGCAAATACAAACATATCCACATAGGGTTGGGGTTTTTTTCATATTTCCACCTAAAAAACTTAATTCCTCTATTCAATCTTTATAAGGCTAAGTATTCATTATCTCAAAATTTTATTTTATTTCAAAATAATACAAATATTTAACTCTCCTTATCCTAATCATCATCTTACCCTACAATTCTATAGAAATCAATGTCTGTCATTTCTCTGAGATTTCTTATATTAAATCAACATACCTTTCCATGGCTTTAGCTGTGTAAGGCAAATGCATTTCAATACTGTGTTCATCTTCATCTGTTTG